TATCTTCTAATTTTTTCTGAAGCATGCAAGAGAAAGTGAAGAGTAATGGAAAGTTGGTGAAGCAAGAGCTGCAGGAGCGAGAAGTGGTGGACAATCAAATTAATTCTGTGAAATCTTGGGTTCAAGAGACAAAAGAATATTTAGGGAATCCAACAATTGAAATAGATACTCAACTTGAAGAACTGAAGGTACAAAGCATTCTGCATTCTTTATACCAATTGTTTAAGAATTGCCCTTATATTAATTAGGTATCCTTGTTTATATTTAATGAAATATTGAATTCAAAATTTTAGACATGCATTATGTAAAAGGCATTTAACCTGATATGATAGTCTAAGAATCACTTAAGTCTGAGAGTTCAAAGCCAGCCTGGTCAACATAGTGAAACCTTGTTTTAAAAAAGGCATTTAGAATTAATTTTAGGACTTTTTTTTTAATCTCATAAAAGAAGACATAGGCCATATTTAGGGATTTTTTTAAGTTTAATTTTTTTGAAGGTGGTTCTATAATCAAATTACAATTCTCTTAGTCAAATATGGATGAACAATATAGCCTTATCTCTATGCCCATAAAAATCATCTTCTTTGTCAAGCTCCCGGGAGGTTCTTACACTGATCACTTTTTCAGCTTCTCCTGACAGAAGCCACCGGTCACCACCAGAGCATCGAGAGACTGGCTGAAGAACAGAAGAATAAGTACTCGGGCCTCTGTACTATAGTGCCTTCCGAAATCTCTCTTCAGTTAGCAGAAGTGGCATTGGACCTGAAGATCTACGAGCAGGTAAATCCAAGATCAACCTAGAGTGCCTTTCTATTCCTTATGGAGTCCATCTTTTTGTGTAAGAGTTCTCAATTTGCATGTCTCCTTGGGAGCCGAGTCAAATAATAGATCACTTCATAGGCAAGAAACATGTAGGATAATCATAGATATGAACAATAATTTCGTATCCTTTATCTGGTTCCATTTATGTTTTAAACAATGGCTTAAGAAAGCAAACATAAGATTTATTTTTTGTTTTCAACATATATTTATTGCATACACAGAGTATGCTGGCACTCTTCTAGTTCAACCAGATACAAGAGGAGTAAGTGATACCATTTGAGGAAAAGAATGAAATAATAGCAAAGGTAAATTCAGGGAAGAAATCCTTACCAAAATGTTAGTGGCAGGGCTTCAAGTCCAAACAACCAAGGAAGGGAGTAAGGAAGCATAAACTATCTCTACAAATTGAAAACAAGTCTTAATGAGAAACATACAGTTCGTTCTGGTGTTGAGATCAGAGGGAGATTTCCATCTTTAATCTCATAAAGAAGATGTATTTTCATGTCATGTAAACAGTTTCATGGAGCAGCAGTGGCTTCTTAGGACTGTGTGAGTGACTGAATGCTAAAGCCATTAAATTTTAGTTAAAACTATTTCATCTAGGATGAAGACACAATATACACTAATCCTAAATCACTGCAGGAAACAGAAAATACACACTATAAAATTCATACAAGTAGTCTGTACTTTTTAGAATCTCCAGTGTAAAAGACAGTGTTTTAAAAATCTCATCAAAATCCAGTTCAACTGTATGATGAACTTGATTTAGACTAATATGTACTATGTCATATCCTAAATATTTGATGCACCTATTTTAGTTCTTAGATGCTGCTGAGGAGGATGACTTGACTAGGTCAGTTCTGCTTTTAAAACTTCAAATTTAGGTTTTTCTTTGTCTCTGGAGATAGTTCCCTAAAACATGGTTATTCATACGCATTCCAGTTCTTTGGCCAACAAAATACTCTTTTAATATTCTCTCTACAAAAAGGTTATTTTTTAGCAGACTTTCATGTAGATAAAGAAGGAAAACCTTTCTCCTCTTTAGTACCTTGTTTTCAGTTTATTTTTTAAACACATATGTAAGTGTTTGCTATCCAATCAGACCCACCCATTAGAAATTTTTAAGTGTGCGCTCTTTTTCCCTCCCTCCCCTCTGGATGACCTTAGGTCTGTGGGTTGCACAATGGGGATATAGTTGGAGGCTAAGGAAAGAGCTAACACATCATTAACAAGCAGTTGCAAAAAGGCACTCAGAAAACAAAAGCCTGTGCCTTCAGCTATTTGATGGGAAGTGTTCTATCTTAGGAAGTCAAAGAAAAAGCTTAAAGGAGACTGTATACTCAAAGTCTTAAAGTAGAGAAGGTGGGATTCAGTTGTCTGCCGAACCTTCCACAGTATTTTGTAAATATTTAATAAGTGAGGCATGGTAGGCACACTGGTTATTTCTTTGGTGGGCCAACAACAGAAGGAGTGCTCAAAGTGTGGAAAGATGGTGGCATGTAACGCTGCCGCAAAACCAGGGGAGCTTGTGGCTCATTTGATTCAGCTCATCCGTGGGAAGTAAAGCAGCTCTATCCACTGAAATGTCTCTGGTCAACAGCCTTAGAATTTTTGGTGCCTGTGACCCACTTTTAACATTGGTTTTGCTGTTGTCATTGATTCTTTAGATCCAAGAAAAGGTAAAAGAAATTGAGCAGAGCAAGGCCAAGAGCCAGGAATTCAGTCGGCAAATTCAGAAAGTAGCCAAAGATCTCACCGCGATTTTAACGAAGCTGAAAGCAAAAACTGATAATCTAGTTCAAGCTAAAACTGACCAAAAGGTAAGGAGGAAGGAGTCAATTTTATTTCAGATAAAGCAAAAAGAAAACTCTCAGGCCAGGGAGATGGCTCAGTAGAATAAGCGCTTGCCTGGCAAGCACAAGGGCCTGAGTTCAATCCCCTGTTCCGCACGCACGTGTGCATACACATACACACACCTAAAAAGACACCTAACATAAATTTTAGGGCTGGGGAGATGGCTCAGTGGAATAAACGCTTCCCTGGCAAGCGCAAGGACCTGAGTTCAATCCCCGGTTCTGCAAAAAAAAAAAAAAGAAAGAAAGAAAGAAAACTCTCTCTTAGCAAATTTTACAATAAAGAAACATTTATATGTAAGTGTACTTATAATAGCATGAGCCCACTTATGTAATTAATCATTGCAATTGAAATGTATTAATAAACAGTGATGTATACATGAATAAGAGAAAAGAGCATGAAAAGGCTAAGTGACGGCAAGCTTATAAATACAAGTTCATAATTTCCAAATTGATTCATGTTTCTGGTAGTTCATTCTGTCTTTGCACACTGTCCATGCGTGAAGTGAGTAATCTGTTTGGGTTGGGCAGAAGGAAAACGTAAGCCCTGGCATTCAGGAAATAAAAACCAAGAGTGGAACACATTCTGTTCTGCCTCTCCATCCCCCCAGAACACTGAAGGATGTCAAAGTAGAAGTGCTTTTCCTAATATTAGGCTTTTATAAATATTATGTAAAATATAATCCTCCCAATCATAACAAATGCAGAGAAGCCTATTTTCTATCCTCTAATGTTCTCATATCGGATGACCATCTAGGTCCTGGGAGAGGAGCTAGACGGCTGCAATGCAAAGCTAATGGAATTAGATGCAGCAGTCCAGAAGTTCTCTGAACAGCATGGCCACCTGGGCAAGCCGCTAGCCAAGAAGATAGGAAAACTGACCGAGCTTCAGCAGCAGACTGTCCGGCAGGCTGAGAGCCGGCTCTCCAAGCTCACCCAGGTCTGTGCTCCAGCCTTGAATCTGTGTTTACAGGCAGAAAGCTTAAGCACCTGTCTTCCTATTGAAAACCGTTGAAAAGATGATGCTGGCAGCAACAGAAGACATTTGGATGTGGCTTATTTCATACCATGCTTGTGCTCCTGCACTTTGTATGCAAACCTGTGTTTGTTTCATAGCTAATAACATTATAAATTCACTGACAACAATTGTTATACAGGGCCGGGGAGACAGCTTAGTAGAATAAGCACTTGCCTGGCAAGCACAAGGACCTGAGTTCAATCCCTGGTTAAAAAAAAAAAAAAAAAGTTATACAGATGGATTTGGGGGAAATAGTTTGTAGACTAGAGGAATATTTCATAAAAGAAATCTTAATGTAAGGGGTGTGTGCATGTGTGTGTGTGTGTGTGTGTGTTTGCATTTACTTAATAGATCATGTAGTATATTAATCAATTAGCTACTTTCCTGTCCTTTTCTACCACTGGGACAAAGTGCCCAATACTCACAACTTAAGGTAACAGAGATTCATTTTGGCTCATGGTTTTCAGAAGATTCAGGCCATGCTTGGTTGTTCCAGGAAGAAACAGTGTGGAAAAGCTCACTGGGAAGGAAAGCTGTGGAGCAAAGCTGTGCAGCCCATGATACCTAGAAGCAGAGAGAGGGGGAAGGAGCAGGGACAAGTAGAGACCTTCCCAGGCTGCATGCGCAGTGCCCGCCTCTTCTGACCAGTTCCTATGCTCTAATAGGACCCTCAGCCCACAACTCCTCAATGGTTTAATCAGCTGATGATCACACCCTTGATCCAGTCACCTTATAAAACCTCCACTCCTCAACCCAGGAGACTTTTGAGGGAAATTTTAGATCTGAACCACAACAGATTTGCAGACAACTTCACAAATTCAATAAGTATTATTTGTGTAATCAAATTAAAATCAGGAATTGATGATCAATGAATATTGAAACCCAGCATGCTAGAGTTCCCACCTGTCACCACCTTACCAAGTGGAAAGTGGAATATGGGACAGGAATAGAAAGCAGCTGGATAGGCCAGGGATGTAGCTCAGCAGCACAGCACCTGCCCATCAAGCGCAAGATCCGGAGGTGGAATTCCAGGATCAGGAAAAAAAAAGAAGTAAGGAGCACATTGACAGATAAGTCAAATAAGAAGGGGAAATAGGTAAAGAGAAATTATTCAAGCTTATTAAGAACTCCAACCTTCCCCTAAAGTCACTGGGAAACCTCTGATGGGTTTCAACATGGAAATGAGTTTTCACGGTTCCTTTCAATATCACACGTGTGACTATTTGTAGCTCAGGAGGCAAAGTTCATGTTCATGAATGTTCATGATTTTTCAGGCAACCTCACATTTAGAAGAATACAATGAAATGCTTGGATTAATTTTGAAGTGGATCGAGAAAGCTAAAGTCTTGGTACATGGAAATATTGTATGGAATTCTTCAAGCCAACTTCGGGAACAGTACATTTCACATCAGGTAACTTTAGGGAAAATAGGTTTCAAAGAGTAACAAGGAGCAGTTTGACTGTCAAAATTTAGAGGGTCATGATGTAAACTTTTTGTAGGTTCCAGATCAAAAGAACGCTGACTTTTCTAGTTTAACAGAAAGTAGCTATAAACCATGATAATGCCCTCTATGTACCCTAGATCTTCTTTTCCAAATACCAATGACAATCAGCTCTACATGACTATTTTTTCACCTTTTTAAAAACAGTGATATGCAGGGAAATTCTATAAAGTGATGCATGAAAGATTATAGGCTCCACATCACTAGCCTGAGAAAGAAACTGAACTCCACCATTAGGGACTACGTGATTTGGAGCAAAATATTTTGCCTCTTTTAATTCTGTCTTCTCATTTCTAAAGTGGGGGAGTGAATAGTAGTCACACATCAGACAGGAGGATTAAATGGCTTCATGGATCTCCAAACAGCTGGCAGACACAGGTGTTCCGTAGGAGTTCCCTGCCTCCTTCCCTGCAGCCTTCTGCCTCGGCTGGGACTCAGTCATAAGCCTTCCAGGGCAGGGCAGGGTCAGCAGGAACAATGAGTCCACATCACATGGCAACTGTGTTACTTCATTTCCTGTGAAGTTATGTGACAGAAATACTTCTTTTCTTTTGCCCATACTAGACAGGAAATTATTTCATCCCTTCGTAACCACGGCTTGAATTAGGTATAGGTATCTAACAGACTACTCATCTTTCAACAAAATATAGACTAACTTCTTTAGGTTACTTGGATATCCTCCAGCATTTGGGCTTTCTTTATTACATAATTTATGTATGTGTATCTTTTCCTTAATCCCCTTTTCCAGTCCAGTGGACAGAGTTCTGCACTGTTCTCTTCCAGGAAAGCTTTGACAGTGCCTGATGTGGCCCCCGCATTCACAGTCTTCCTTTGCTGATCAATCTGCACCACTCCCATGATTCCTGCCTTGCACCTTGGATTGTTTGGTGCAGGAAATGCTTAGATATTAACAGACAGACTTCCCTTACTATTGACTTGTAAATAGTGAAACACACCCAACCTCAATAGGAATCTAAAAGTAAAAACGTAAGGAAACAGCTGGGGAGATAGCTCAGTGGTCTAAGCATCTGCCTGGCAAGTGCAAGAACCCAGATTCGATCGATGATGGTACTGTATGCTGTGCAGGTCCGAGAACCCGAGGTATGCTCTGTCAGCCACTGAAACTAGTGTGATGGTGCGTGCCTGTAATCCCAGTGCTGGGGAGGCTGAGACAGGAAGATCACTATGAATCCAAGCTGCATAGTGAGACCTTGCACCAAATAAATAAACAAACAAACAAACAAATGATTTTTAATTTTTTTTTTTAATTTAAGGAGAAAGGAGAGAGGATTTTAACTGTCAAGTTAACACTATTTTTGTGGAAGCTCATACTTAAAGAAGTAAGAAAACAATTAGCAAAATATATGATGATTGTCAAAAATGTTGGTATTCTGACCTGTTTATTATACGTTCTAAACTCTTTGCTAAGGCTGGAATCCAAAATGTAAAAAAACAACAAACAAAAAACATTTTATCCAGCATTAGAACTATAGTGAAATGCTGAAGATCTTGGGGCCTGGAGAGATGGCTCAGTAGAATAAGCACTTCCCTGGCAAGCACAAGGGCCTGAATTTAATCACTGGTTCCACAAAAAAAAAAAAAAAAAAAAGGAAGAAGAAAAAGAAGATCTTAATGTCAAATAACATTTCAAACAACTTGTTTTTGTTTGTTTATGTTTTTAGTAGTTTTTTGCCAACCAAATTGACCCGAGGAGCCCAGAATTAGACTCAGGGCCTTTGTCCTTAATATATTTCCAGTTCTTTTTATTTTGAGACAGGATCTTTCTTCATTGCCCACACTGGGGTAAAACTTTTGATCCTCTTGCCTCAACCTCCCAGAATGCAGGGATTGCAGATGTGTACCACCGTACTTGTTTGATATCCTTTAAAGAGATTGTGAAAGCTTTTTCTTCTTTTTTACAGTCCTTCCTTCCTTCCTTCCTTCCTTCCTTCCTTCCTTCCTTCCTTCCTTCCTTCCTTCCTTCCTTCCTCTTTAACAGTTACAGAGTACTTTCCCAATGTAGTAACTTTGGTTAGCATTTGGAATACAAAGACTATTCCTTGTTCCTGCTTCTGTGGAGTGAGAGGGAGGGAGGGACAGACAAAGAGGAGATCATGATGATCCAGTGTGATCATGCAGAAAGAGGTCTCAGGAGGTGCCCCACCCAAGCAGCCCTGTATTAGAGGATGGTTAAAGAAGGCCACTTGGGAAGAGGTGACAAGGGCTGAGTCCTGAGAAGCACTGCAGCTCCCTTTGGAATGTGCTTTAGACATTGTCTTGGCAGAATCCTAGGAGTGAGAGTGCATATGCTGTATGAACGGAGAGAAGGTTAGCACTCCCCTTGACAAGGATGGAAGAGGCCTTTGGGCCTGACAACACGCATACAGTTGCGGCATTGCCACCTACTTCATAGCACCTAACCACTGTTTGGGGCTGGCCAGATAGCTCAGTGGACTAAAGCACCTGCTTAGGCAGAGTCCAGCAGCTGGGGTTCAATCCCCGGCGTGCTGTGCTGGCCCCACCCCTGGGGCATGCTGAGATGGTAACTGAGACTGGATGTGGTGGCACACACCTGTAATCCCAGAGCTTGGGAGGCTGAAAGCAGGAGAATCACTATGAGTCCAATTTAGGTAGTGAGACCCTGTATTAAATACGTTTTTTTAAAAAAGAGTGCAGGTACTCTGGGGTCCTCACAAGCTGAAAAGAGGGATCAGAGATAAAGACCAAGAGATCAGGAAAACACAAACAACAAAAGCCTATTCCAACGTGGATTTTATCCTAAAGTCACTCTGACAGACTATTTACTTTTGAACAAAATATAAACTGAAACCTGGGACAAATACTTTGCCAGCAAGTTAGAAGCTTAGGCTTGTAGAGGAAGAACCTCACCCTGTAGAAGGCAGATTCCTGATGGTAAGATGACAGAAGAGGGTTTCTCTATACTCCAGACTCTGCACGCCAGTAGAAAATGCAAGCTCTCTCTTTAGAGATGGAGAAAAAAAGGAACACAAGGGATACCAGGGATTAGGGATCTAGAATTCCTGGTGGTTGGATATAGCTAAAAGAGGAAAGGCGTTAGGACAATTCCCTGGCTTTGTGACATAGGAAGCTGGGAGATAGACCATGTTGTGGAACACAGGGCACACGGAACAGCACATGGTTGCAGTAAGATGTTAGAGTTTCCTGGACCTTGATTTATTTTCCATGAGATGGGGGGGAAAAGTAGGGAGCTACCTCATGGTAGAGGGTGAGGAGTGTGATGGTCAGACGCAGTGACCGCTACACAGCCTGCCCTGTGCACGTCGGGCGTGAAGCCCAGCTTGGCCCTCTCCCCCTCCACGCCTGCTAGTCTTCGCACAGCACCATGCTGCTTGTTTGTGGCCCTCTGTACCCCTGGCAGTGTCATGAATGCTGGCTGTTCCCTTTAGGCCCTGCTAGAAGAATCTGAAGAAATTTACAGTGATCTGGAAGCAATGTCCGAGAAATTACAGTGCCTCACCAGTGTGTACCATATAGACAAAATGTCCCAGCAAGTGGCAGAGCTGGGACGGGAGACTGAGGAGCTGCGGCAGGTCATTAAGATTCATATGCAGAGCCTCCAAGATGCTGCCAAGGTAAAAAACAAACAAACAAACAAACAAACAAACAAACAAACCATATATATATCTTACTGAGAAACTAAAAAGGTGACCCTGCTATAGAGTTGTAGTACAACGCGCTTTCTTGACTATGACAGCTTTCTTTGTCTGTGATTGTATGGTTACTATTCACATGGACTTTGCTCTCTAGGATATGAAGAAGTTTGAAGCTGAACTGAAAAACTTACAAGTGGCTTTGGAGCAAGCCCACAGCACCCTGACTTCTCCAGAAACTGGGCGCCTGAGTCTCAAAGAGCAATTATCACATCGACAGGTAAAGAAATAATTTATAACAAATGGGTAGTGACTAATTTCTACAAAAAAAAAAAAACTGGAATAGCTAGGAAACATATTTTCTAAATTCAATTATAGAAGATGGGCATGGTGGAACAGACCTGTAATCCCAGCACTTGGGTAGAACAGACCTGTAATCTTCCCAGGCAGGAGGATCGCTATGAGTTCAAGGCCAACCTGGGCTACCTGGTGAATTCAAAACCAGCCTGAATACGTAGTGAGACTTTCTCTAAAAAAAAAGAAAAGAAAAGAAAGAAAGAAAAGAAAAGAAAAAAAATGAATTATTTCTAGTCTTAAATCTAGATCCATTATTACTGAGAACTGTATTCCTTGCAATATGTTTATAATCTGTGACGATTCAGTAGATGCCTTCTGCTGAGGTACTAAAACATAGCAATGTTAAACTTTTCACTGTACTTCCAGCACTTGCTCTCTGAGATGGAGTCGCTGAAGCCGAAGGTGCAGGCCGTGCAGCTCTGCCAGAGCGCTCTCCGGATCCCCGAGGACGTGGTGGCCAGCTTGCCACTGTGCCATGCTGCCCTGCACCTGCAGGAGGAGGCCAGCCGGCTGCAGCACTCCGCCATCCAGCAGTGCAACATCATGCAGGCAGGTGCAGCGGGCTGGTTCCCCGCAGCCCCCACCAGCCATGCCTGGTGCACCAGTCATGGGCGGCTTTTCTTAGTGCTGTGTAGGCGCAGCCGTCAAAACACATCCAGACTGCTAAATCTGACAAACTGTTGTGGTTATATAAAATGAGGAGATTAAGATGCTATCACTGGATGGCCCACAAAAGGCTGGGAAAAGCTCTATAAAAATATCCTTTTGTGCAGGCAACATAGCTCAGCGGATTAAAGCACCTGCTTAGGCGGGGTTCAATCCCTGGTGTGCGGTGCCAGCCCTTCCCCCCGGGGCACATTGAGAGAGTGATTAAAATTGAACATGGTGGCATGTGACTGTAATCCCAGCACTTGGGAGGCTGAAAACAGGAAAGATCAGTAGGAGTCCAATCTGTGTAATGAGACCCTGTAGACCCTGTACTAAATACAAAAAAAAAGAAAGAAAAATATCCTTTTGTGAAAACTGTCTGTTGGTGATATTTTTTATAAATAATGACTTGTATAGGTTGAATTTATGCAGAATCATATTTACAATATTTTAATTACCCAATAAAAATGTAGATTTGGGTAATATGCATTTGCCCTTATATATTACAAATTTTTAGTATTTTATAATATTATTTCATCAAACACATTTTCTTATCAGAGAAATGTGGAGAAGCATAACTTGGTCTCTTCACCTAATAAGAGAAAAAATATCTAACAAGGAGAAATGACACCATTTACTATGAATATGTTCTCAACTAATATTTACCTTTTTTATTAAAAATTGCCTTGGTGGCTTCTCATTAAAATCACCAGCATGCATTTTAATTTGTTTATTCTTATTTTTTAGGGAAGGGTCTACAGAGTGTTCAGGGTCTCACTACTAGTTTGGACTCGGAGCGATCTGCCTGTTTATAGCCTCCCAAGAGCTAGGATTACAAGCACGTGCCACCACACCCAGTCTCAATTGCCCTCTCATCACTGCCCCCCATCGAAACACCAGCCCCTGCACCTGCTTGCAGGTGCTTTAATCCACTGAACTACCAGCGTCCATCTGCATAACTCTTTTGGCTTCTTGCATTGCCTTGTAATTGCTTAGACATTCAATTCCTAAGGCTAGAAGTTATCCATGATTCATCTTTTTATCATCCCCTTCTGCAACATGTTCCTTTTGTCACTCAGTATTTCTTAGAGCTAGAAGGGAACAATCCACTTTCAGACTGCTGTGGTTTGCCTTCGGGACAACACAAGTAAGAGAGAAGAGAGAGAATCCTCATCATTCAGGTCTTTGAGCCCATCAATCACCCTATCACAGTATTTCGCCAACGAACTTTTAAAATATCGAAGTAAAAAGGTTTTATCTATCCCTTTGTGATTTCCCAAACACATAGGCAAATAGGAGGTGACAGTGGCTTGGCAGAGAGTGATCCAGCCACTAGGTACTTATTGATCTATTGAGAGAAAACCCCACGTTCTTGTCTTTCTTCTGAAGGAGGCAGTGGTGCAGTACGAGCAATATGAGCAAGAAATGAAGCATCTGCAGCAGCTTATAGAAGGTGCTCACAGAGAGATCGAGGACAAACCTGTGGCCACCAGTAACATCCAAGAGCTGCAAGCCCAGATTTCCCGGCACGAGGTAGGCAGAGTGCCAGGGGCAGGAAACGCCTGTGGCCAGCGACTGCAAGAGAATGGTCTTCCCTGTCCTGAACATGTCATTGCCTGGGTAGCTGCTGAAGCTGTCTTTGCACCGTGCATGTGGTATTTGCTGATTCCACAACAGTGTCTTTCTGTGTTGCTCATGAAGCATCTCAGCCAGGACACACCCGCTCTCCCCTGCACCCAGAACCATTGATAGGCTAAAAAAGTCAGTACACTAAAGCAGACGGTCCCTTATCAGTCAGTGTCCCTTCTGGCCTGTCAACTTCTTCATACGCCTCGTTCACTTTTCCCCTCCTTGTGTGGATCACCACGAAATTTGGCGGAAGGGTCTCCTGTCTCTGTGTCAAGGAGAGACATTGATGTTTAAACTTGTTCTCTTTTAACTTTCATATGAGAACTATTTTTCCTAAGAAAGTTTCATAGTAAGGTTCTCACAAATGTTGCATTTGCACGATCTCACTGCCCTCTCACTGGGATTCCTTAGTTTCTTTTTTTCTTTTCTTTTTTTTCTCCCGGAACCGGGGATTGAACTCAGGCCCTTGAGCTTGCCAGAGAAGCGCTTATTCTACTGAGCCATCTCCCCAGCCCCTGTTCCTTAGTTTCTTGATACTTCCACACCAAGCACTTATATGATTTCTTTATTAATTTAAATAAATCTCTCACCTGCTTTACTTCTGCAGCTGTAGATGTCTATAGCAGTTATTTCTCTTTTGTGTTGGTTAAATGAAAATACATTGTGCAGATTTTGGAAACCACTGTTTGCATAATGTACACAAGATTCTATAGTATATACCTATCTTGAAGCTATTTTTTACTCCTATTTTGTAAGATCCAAAATTTTATTGCATTGTTTCTTATATTATGGTCTAGAATATATTTGTATTTTAGCTGCAATAACAATGATTTTTACTAAAGTTTTTATATTTTTTAAAAATAACTTGCAAAATTTTACATCTTTTTACAAACATTAATCTAGTGATGATTTGGCTCTATTTTTTAAAAAATGCGATCTCTGTTTTATCAATAAGGAAACTGAATTTCCTTTAAATGACTTTTTGAGCTCCCGAATCAAGTAGCTGGTGGAAGTTGGACTCAAATCCGAAAATGCGATGACTTTTCCAGGGTAACAGAAACTGTCGGTACTCTGCCGTGGTACAAAGGAAAAGAAAAGGGGTCTCGGGAAGCTGAATGCTCACGCCAGGCCTTGTGGACCGCTCTGCAATAGCCTGGCTTTCCCGGCTCCTGACTCGTGATCTGTTCATCTTTGTCACTCTTCTCTCCCCAGTTCTAAATCCCACGTAAGCATTTGTCAGTTGCATCATGCAACTTTGAGCACATTTTCAGGTAAACAATGCTGTAGGCCCCCGTGAGGGTCGCAGTGCATGGGAAACAAACACAGCAAGGAAAGGGCGAGTGGGGAGAGCCTGCCCGACAATGGAAAAACTGGGCTGAGGGGTTTCCCCTGTATTTTTCATCTGCTGTTAATTGAATTTCAATCTTAGGGCCCATCTGAGTTCTTTATAAATGTCAACTCCTAAAAATCACTGAATTAATTCAGTTCAAGGACTTCACATTTCATTTTCTATAATTTTTCCAAGGTAACATTTAATTGTAAAAACAATTTTACTGTTACTTATTTTTGCTTTTTAATTTACGTGGTAATTGCACTGGACTACAACCCTAGCTCTTCTTATATTTTTAATTTTGAGTCAAGGTTTCACCAAGACACAAAACTGCCCACAGTGGGCTCAAACTTGGAATCCTCCTGCCTCAGTCTCCCAGAAAGCTGTGATTACAGCTATGGACCACCATGCCTGGCTCCTACCATTTTTAGATCCTAGGAGAGAGTATTCAGACTTCTTTGCCCACCACCTGATAGAGAAGGTGTGCTCCTGGTACAGGAGGGTGTCACAGGACTTCTTTGCTCCACCAGGTCGCTGTACTAAAATTTTCACTTCTATAGCCATTTTCAGAAATAATCTAGTCTATATGGATTCCAGAAAGCGTATAACATTTTGAAACCATTAGTGCTTCATTTTCATTAGCAAATTTGGCACATCCTGAATATCCAGTGTAAAAAGTGATGAGGTGCAAGCGGTGGAAAGCTCCAGAAGTCTCCTGGGTTGACCAAAAAGTTATCATAAACCCAGTAAATCACTATCCTTGGAACTATTTATCAGAACTACATTTTTATCCAACAACCTAAATGAATTTTATACACAATAAATTGATACTTTCATCTTAGAAAACAGGTGCTTGACCTTAGCGTGGGTGCACAGCTGCAGGTGCTCCTGGAGGGCGCTGTGACCAGGCACGCAGCGCTGTGCAAGTAGGAGTTAAGATTGCTACCTGGGTCTGCACAGGAGCTATGTGGCAAGCCAGAGCCCGAAAGCTTTGTGTCCTTGAACTCAGTGAACCCGGCAGGCTGGGAGGTACCTTTTAGAGGGAAGAATTGGAATAAATATCATTTCTAGAATACCCGTGTACCAGCCCCTAGAATAAACTACTTGATCACTATTAAAAGAGAAGCAAACCTGCTAAGTTTAAGTACCTGCAGCCGCAGAGATAAAGAAATGATTATTTCTGCCTTTCATATCTTGTTCTCAAAGTTCCTATGATGTTCTAGAAATCAGGCTAACAAGTGGCTGGTTGAGTTCTGCTGAACGCTTTCCCCTCTACTCAGGTTTGGTTGGGAAGGAAAAAATGGGAACAATAGCAAAACAATAGCCATGTGTGGTGGTGTACCCTTGTAATACCAACCCTCGAGTAGCTGAGGC